ACTTTACAGATTGTACAGTTTATATATAGTTCAAACTACTGAACGAAAAAGTAGGTCCCACAGATGCAAAAATACTGTACCAATCAATCCAAGGTAAAGGCAGATTTACACACTGTACAGCTCTCCGTGTGGCCGGGGAGTCGGTCAGTTCTAAGTATAAATTTCAAAACTGTACAAAAATAAGGTTTCGATTTTGTCATTCTTCATACATTCAATATGATTGCAAACCCAGAAGCCCAGCCATTCACAGGCGCCTGTAGTTGGGAATGAGCCTCCCCTCCTGTGGGGGGCACCCAATCCCACGGGGTGCTTGTGGCCCCGGGCTGTGCACAGTGTGTGGTGTGCACAGAAAAGCGGGGACCGAGAACGGTAAGTGTCGAATATAAGGTAGTTCTTTTTGTTTGGAAAGGAGTTTCTGTATTTAATAGTGTGCCAAAAGAATTTTAACTTATTAAATAAAATATATTCTAAGTGAACCTAAAAATTACACTTTATAAACATAAAAATACTTTTATTTGGTGTAATACATCAATCATATCTGCAGACAAAAAAAACCAAAACTGTATATAAAGTAGTATTTCTCACCCAGCAACAAGAAGCACTTAATGGAGTTATTTTTCCAAAAGGTCAGAAAAACTATTTAAAACCCACTAAGACTAACTTATAACTTAGATATTCATTCTTAACCTAGTCAGTGACTCACTAATACTGCAAAACAGGCTTTCTTCTAGACAGTGGTTTCTTCACGTTAACTGGGTAGAAGTGGACGTATCAAGAAAAAAGGGAGAACCCAGTGATACTCCAGCGTGAATCCTAAGTGCTTGCTAAGTCTGTCCTAGGAGACACCTTTCCTAGAAGGTGAGTTTTGCTTCTGCATCTCGGAAGTATCTGCACCCGGCTCCCTGGAAGCAAAGGAAACATCCCAGATCTTTGTATCTCTATGCCAGACAGAGAAGGTGAGGCTGGCTTTTGGTAGGGAAAAATGAGGAAAACAAACATTCCAGACTTTTCTGTCATCCAAATGAACAAAACACAAATCTTTTTCATACAGTACTAGCCAAAGGAAACAAAGAATGAGTTTCTGAGAGCAGTCTGTTGCTCCCCACTCTGCTTTTACACCGGTGTGTGGATAAGTATAAAATAATGATGTTTGCACAAAAGAGCTTTGTAGTTATTTATTTTAAAGGTATAGGACTTGAAAACTCCTTGGAAATAAATAGTTTGGATGTTTCCCATCCTGCTTCCAAGGATGAGCTACGTACGGGTGAACGTGTTTCAGGCCGTGAGGATGGACTGACCGGGCAGGGAGCCGCTGATGTCCTGCTCAGACCAGCTCTGGTGTCCTCCACACACGGCTGCCGATCAGAATTCGTCAATTTTCCTCTGCAAGTACTTCAACATGGAGTCCATGCCCTGGGCTGAGCCCCAGATCTTCTTCAGCACCTCACACTCCCTCTCGTTGGCCTGCTCCAGCTCCAGCTTCATGTTACAGCGCACGAGGGCCTTGGACTCCTCCAGCACCTGGGCGGACGACAAGCAGGGGTCAGGGAGCTGCACCTGCCTGCGCCTCCTGTGCTTGGTGGCAGCTGAGCCTGGCCACTCCTTCCTCAGTGCTGCACTCAGCGGACCCTGCTATTGGGCCTGACGTGTACTTAAGGAACAGCCAACTGCCTGTACCTGTGGGTCCCTCATCTAGGGATTCAACCAAACCTGGACTGAAAAATCTGGGGTAAATGCACAACGAACTGTGCCTGTACCGAACACGGCAGTCTCCCCACCTCCCAGATTTATTCCCTACAAATACAGTGTCAGCGTTCCTGACAGCATTCACACCGCACTACCGGTCATCTACAGACCACGTATGGTGTTTGGGACCATGTGCACAGGATGAAAGTCCTGCAGCACTGTGCCGAAGGGACCGAATGCTGTGGATTTGGGTATCCATATCCATAGGCATTGTTTTCTCTGGACCCAGTACCCCTTGGACGCAGTGAGAGGACTATTTCACTAAATGATGGGCAAACTGTCAACGTCAAGAGAGTGCTTCAACTCTTTCCAGATGGCTGGGTGGCTGCACCCTGGCCCCCACCCGCCCCTGGGCCAGTGCTGGGCACAGCACTTCTGCTGTGGGGTCCTGAACTGGAGTCCACTCCACCAATGCACAAACAAACCCTGAGCTCGCCTACTGTGCACGTTTAAGCCGAATTTAATTCCAATTGTAAAGGCCGTTCCAATATCTGAGACAGTTTAGATTTGAGATTGGGTCAGTTAATGAGAAATAACATTTCATCCTGTAATTTCCTAAACGAACTTTGCGAGAAGATGGAACATTATTCAGCTTTTTTATTAAACAAAGACCTCTGGCCCACTGTGTGCTGGGAGAACCTAAACACGATTATGAGAGGGTTTTGTAAACACTAGGGGAACGACATGGACGTTGGTGCTGTGGACTTCTTGCTGAAGTCCAGCCCTACGATTCCTGGCTGTGTTCTAAGGGGCACCAGGTGAGCAGCCTGGCACGATGCCACGAATGGTGGCTTTCGCCAGGGCCATGCAGAAAGGCAGCTCTGGTGACAGCAAACGTGCAGGGGCTAGAAAAACTGTCTTATTTGTAAGCTTGATGGAGGAAAAGACACATATACGTAAAGCAATATGCAAGAGACGTACAACTGGATTGCACGAGGCGAGCTCCTTGATGCGAACCATGACTTCCTGGGTGAAGGTCCCCGGCCAAAACACCTGGGAAACCAGGCCCTTGCCACACGCCTCCTGTGCTGTCAGCTTCCGCCCGCTGAGCAACATCTCATTTGCCTGCAAGGAAGAAGAGCCAATTGGATGTGATGTGAAGCAGGACAGGGAACAGGCAGGGAGGGCCCCTCCCAAACCAAAACTCAACCAAATACAAAACAAGAGCGGGTGAGTGGAGAATGCTGGGCTCTGCCACATGCGCCCTAGCGCCCTCTAGTGGCCTCTGAGAATAAAGTGCACGCAGGGTACAATCTGGGCAGACTGGAGAGCAATCTCCTTTCTCAGAGACTGCAGAAAAAACAGATTTATTTTATGTTACACAGACTCACATGGAATTTTTAAAAATCTAAGTAAGATTTGTGGCTCATCTGGAAAGTCTCTGGTGCAATTTCCTTTCCTCCTAAATATTCCTCTCCCACGCGCGGGTTCCCTGAAGAGCAAGACAGCCTGGGAAGGTGGGCTGCAGACAGCGGCAGGCACTTGAGCCAGGTGGGAAGGGCTACAGTCCACTGTCCTGTCCCCGGGGCCGGGGCTGTTCTTGATTCAGGGACAATGATCAGTGCTGACACAGTGCTGCTGTTGACACCCTGGGAGCCACGCTCTCATCTGGAACTAAAAGGGGAGACTGGCTGAGACCCAAGTGTGCCCCCCACCACTGCTGCCGAAGAGGGTCTGAAAGTCACTTCGCTCACTCAGTGGAGAGTGACATGTCTTTGTCTTTTGAAAAGTTATTACGTGTGTCTGTATGCAAAATGGACCCAACCTTTGTCCTGGATTCAGGGGCACCCTTCCTGTCCCAGCACAGTCTGCATGGACTTCCCACCACTCACATGAGCCAACACGACAGTTTCCTGTCTGGTTTCTCTTATGGGTCCAACCTTCCCAAAGACCTGGCTGGAGCTCGAGGTTCAGGTGAAGAGCTGGTGGTGTCTCCCTTTCTCAGAGGTGAAGGGGTCACAAAAAGGTCCTACAGCTGCCAAGAGCACTGCCTGCTTTTGCCACACAGCGCACACCATGTGGCTGACTGGCATCCTCCGACAGAGGCAGGGCCGGGAACAGCGGTCACCCGTGCAGTCTGTTGGGCGCCTCAGTCTCGGACGGTGCTTGGATGAAAAGTCTGGAATGTTCTGTTCCCTTGCCTGGGTCTGTCACCAGCCCTTCCCAGAAAAAGGACGGTCCATGAACAAACTATGGATTGACCACTCGGCTGTGTTTGGCAGCTGTGCCTGCTTCCGACACTGACAGAGGATGGCAGGTCAGGGCACTGAGGCTTCCTTCCCCAGGCTGTCTCTCATTCTCAAGACACGGAGAAGACAGTGCCACTGCTCTGCTCCGGCAGTCAAACACGAGGGTCGCTCTCAAGGCCCGCTCTCGAGGCCAATCTAGCCAGACAGAGCCTGATCCAGGGTAGGGAGTGCCTGTGGCCTCACCAGGCTCAATACGCAGGGCAGAGCAACCACTTGACGTCTTCCTCGCTGCGCCTTGCAGACGCTCTGTCCTGTTGCTGTCACCTCCCTGCAGGGCATCTGGAAGCCGCCACTGCTCCCTGAGGGGCCCTTCCCTTGCAGATGCATGCACCCCGCCAGTCCCACTGGCTCTTACAGCCTAGCCCAATGGGATGCCTCCCCTATTCCAGATGTCAGATGTGCAGGATACCAAGGGTGAGCCTGAGTTCAACTCGAGGCTGCTAACCCTTGCAAATAAACAGAGACTCAGTTTAAATGACAGTCATAAAAACAGAAACCACCCAAATCCAATGAAATAACTCCCAGACAGTGACACCGAATTCATCAAATCTTACTTGCTGAAATCCATCTCGGTGACCAGAGAAGCTAATGGGTGGGCGTGGGAAGGAGGTCAAATGGCTCTCCAGCTTGCTGGCAGGCAGGGCCATGCACCGGATGAGGGATAACGAAGTGGGACAGCAGAGACCCAGCACTTCCCTGAGATGGACCTCCAGACAGAGCTGGTCCCCCCGCCCCCCATCTGCGGTTGAGGAGGAGGGGTGGTGGGCAGCAGCCCCAAATCTGCCACCAGGCTTTCTGGGTGGAGGCCCTCAGCCTCCTCTGGTCCTGTGTGCTGAGGAAGTGCTCCACAGGTCCCCACCCAATAGATGCTGCTCCCCCGTGGGAAGACACATGGACGCTTCTCTTTAAAGCTGCCTCTGAAGCTATCCCACTTCCTCTCCTGCATCACCTCCTTCACCAAAGGGACTGAGCGAGTGTCGAGGAGAGGCAGAGGTCCGTTGTGGGACAAGTCTGGACAGGAGAGGTGACTCACCCGGGAGATAATCAGGTCCCCGGCCCCAGGAAGCATGGGGAAAGTGGGGGCACAGGCCGGGTGGAGCTGGAAGGCAGGAGTGCTGTGGGTGACTGGAGGAGACACAAGATGCCACAGGGGGCTGACGGCCATTGCCAGACAGAGGAGCCCAGGGCAGCCCCTGGGGTCCTGGACAAGGCTGTGCCACGCTTAGCAGGGAAAGTATGCGCACCGGAGTGAGCGCTAGAGACCCAGTGTGTGAGCACAGGACACAGCGACCACACAGCAGAAACACCAAGCCACGGGGTCCAGCAGGCTGGCGGCCGGGTGCAGCTGGGACCAGATGCACACTCCAGAGGTGCACAGGCACCCACTCACCCACATCAGTGACCAGGCGTGGACGGAAAACACCCGACAGGAGATGCACCCAGCCACTGACCAGGGCAACAGGAGCAGCAGGCCAGGTTAGAGTAATACTGACCACGCCAGGGCTGTGAGGCCTGCATGACAAGGAGGGGTAGGATGGAGGGCCAGTAAAGGGCAGAGGGCTGCATTGTTAGCCTGCCTGCTGGGGGCACCCACCATGGAAGGGGCACTGAATGACAATGACTGAGACAGCTGGGCTGCTGGCCTGCTGGACCCAGGCTTTCAAAGGTGAATTAGGAGCTGGGCTGAATTTCCAGCCTGCCAGAGGGAGACATTGATGCGAGCCACTGGGGGCAAAGTGTCCTGAGGACACCACCTGTCAACACAGTGACTACGCTGGGAACAGAGCCTTCCTCCAGGTCTGAGGGTCCTATCCCCAAGTCCTCCCCACACCAGCCACTGAGGCTCCTGGGCCAGAGTGCGGCAATGGGAGGATGGGGTACAGTGCACCGCACCCTTGTTTGGGTCGGACCTCCCACAGGAAGTGGGTGTGGCCTGTGCAGCAGAAGCAGGGGCCTCTTGGGCCTCCCTGTCCAATGTCCAATGGCAGCCGCTGGGGCCAGGGCCCGAGCCCCTAGGTTCTCATGGGATGACACACTGGTCTATTGAGAAGAAATGGGAGTCTAGCACCAGAGCGGCCACCCCAGCAGCCACAGTGCAGAGCTTCTAGCTGGGAAGCAGTAGGGCTGCTGTTTGATCTACTAACCTTCCATTAACCTTCCTCCTCCCCTTTCTTTGTATTCTGTTGTTAGAATTTTCTTCTTTTTTAAAAAATGGGATAAGTTGAGCTAACTGAAATATACCAAAGACAGTCCTCCTGGCCTTTCCCAGCTCTCCCACATTAATCTGCTACAGAACATCTGCTCAAAGCCAGAGGATGACTTGACACAGCCAAACCGTCCCCTCGTACAACAACGTCACCTGTTCTTGACCAGGACTGAGTTCAGGCCCATGCTGCATTGACCTGTCATGTCCCCTCTGCCTGTCAGGGTCCCCACAGGCTGGGTCTGCCTGAGGCTGGCCTGTGACTGGATGGAGCGAGGCACTTTGGGGAGCTCCAGAGTGGCAGCTGCTGCGGCCGAGTACATCAGGCCGACTGCTCCATTGTGAGGCGGTGCCCGCCGCCCTCTCCACTGGCTTCTCTCCCACTGAGTAATGAGGGGACACAAGCACCCTTGCTCCTTGCCACTCACTGTAACACCCTCAGATGGTTCTTGGCTGTTAACAGTTCCATGTTTTCTCTAGGGAGGGACCCTGACCCAGAGCTGTGCCCGTCTTGCTACCCCCACTGCAGGTGGTGTTGTTGGCACAAGGCCACCAGCTGCTTCAGAGCCCTCCTCAGCTGCAGAGCCACCCTGTCCTCAGGCACCCTCTTCCCGGGTGTCCCGCACACCGCGATGGTGGGTGTAAAGGAAGTGGCCACACCAGTCCACTGGGACAGGCTGTGGCTCCAGAGCTACAGGGCAGTGGGAGTGGCCAGGCTTTGTCCTCCTGCACCTTGGCTCCACGCTTCTCTGTGTCCCTTCAACGGGTGCCAACTACCCAAGAATTTTGTTCTGTGCCCAACCTGTCTTGGTGCCTGCCACCGAGAGCCCAAGGGATACCATCTTTGCCCTACTTCAGGATCAACTGAAGGAAGGAGGTGCCAGGAATTATTCAATGAATTATAAGCTACAATATAAATTCAAAGAATTACCATTTAAACAGTTAAGAAATTGAACCACAAAATTAAATGGTTTCCCCTTCTCATTTCTTTCTCTGGCATGTACAACTTTTAGGTTATCAGGAAGAGAGCTTTTCTACTGCAAACTGCATTGTTTGGGTCACACACTGGGTGTTACTGACAGTGGCTATCAGGGTTAATCATGCAAAGCTGCAGACTTCTTGTGAATCCTTCCTAGAGAAAGACTCAAATCAGTATCACAATGGAAGCACAGCAAATCAGGAGTGTACTTGAAGGAAAGGTCTCACACGATGATACACTGTATATACTGAGAAAAACAAAATCCAAATTAGATTTCTTCAGGATGTTTTCTACAATGATTTTTTAAAAAGGTACTCACAGAAGCTCCTCCCATAATCTTGGGAAACATAACGGTAGAGCAGCCATCTGGACTCTGTCCGAAGGTAGCATAGGGTGTTTGAAACCAAGCCTTTTCATTAGCCCAAACCACATCACAAAGAGGCAATATGGATGCTCCTAGTCCAATGGCTGGGCCATTTACTGCTACAATAATAGGCTTCTTAAACTGAATGAAAGTATTCACGAAGTTTCTAAAATGAAAAATAAATGGGAAATTACTCAAAACATTGTATATTTGAGCAGATGGAAAAAAAATCTACCATGGAACTCAATTTACCAAGACGTAAACGCTGGAAATCACGAAGAGCTCAGTTTTGTTTAAGACCTTCTCCCAGAAGTTGTGGGCTGTGGACTATGAGCTGCATGTCGTGAAGGCTTTGAGCAGCCTGGACACCACACGGTGCTGGAGTGAAGGTGCCAGGTAACAGCAGCAGCCAGGACTGCTCTTTCATTTGCAACTGACTCTCGGGTTCTCTGACCAACACACCTTGCTCCTCAACCCTCCCCCTGAAAGTCGTAACACGATGCGCTTCATGTGACCAATCAAGGGAACATTCAGGAGGACAGTGGGCAGGCCTGCTGTGGCTGCCTGGTCCTGAGTGAACAGCAGTGGCACGGTCTTGGCTTTGGTAAGGGACTGCGGAAACTCACTGTTATGTGGAAACAACAGCTCTTTCCTAAGTCTGGCCCAGTGACCTGGGGGACACGGAGTAAGGCTAGCGTGACGGAAGACTAGCAAACAAGATCAGCAGGCACAGGGCCATGCCTGCCCGGCAGCTGACACACACTGTGGCAGGGCAGGTGGCGTCTGAGCAGGAGGGTTATTAAACCCAGCCAAAGCGGTTTGGAGGTCTGTAAATTTTTAATTCAGGACGGTCCCCATCTTGGAGGCTGAGTGTGTGCTCGGAGGGTCTTTCTATGATTTAACACAGCGAGGAAAAGGGGAAACACAGATGGAACAAACAAAGGCCAATCTCTTCTAGACCTTCTGAGTTCTGTTACAGAACTGCAGAACAAACAGCTTTGTGCTGGATTCTAAACCTGAGCACTTGAAAGGAGCCCCCCACTTTCTACCACACAGCAATTTAAACACCCAGTGATTAGCTCAGAACTTGCAATCATGACTTGGCATCTCAGACAGTGCCCCCTCAGTGTCCCCCGAAATCCTGGCAGGCCATGGAGTTTCGCCACGGGGCAGGATGGCAAGGTGAGGAGCAGGCTGTGTGGAGAGCAAGGGAGAGAAGGGGGCACAGTTCACCCCAAGGGCACAGTCATTGGGGGGGCCCCAGCTGCCCCAAAGTTTATGGGATCCTTGCAATGAGCAAGGATGAGCTCATCCACAAGTCCCAGGGAGGCTTCCTAAAAGAAAGAACCTGGGGCACTGCTAGAAAATTGCATTGGGGTTTAATGAGCTTCGGGGCTCAGCAAATCAGACTGGAGGAGCCCGGGAAGGACTTCAGGGTGTTGCCCTGAAGACCCTGGGGTTGACAGCAGAGGTGAAAAGCTGTTTTGGGCGCTATGTTTCTGATGCCTTCTTGGGGAGGTGGAGCAGATGCTCCCCAAATTTGTTTCCCAGGGGCCAGGAGTGGCTCCACATGAAGGGGATTTCACCCCAGAGCCACAGAAAAGCCGTGAAGGGGTGAGCGTGTGTGGATCAGTGTGGAAAGAATGATCAGAACCAGAGTAATAAAATGGTCATGCAGACAAACAGTAACTAGAGCTCACTACTTCATGCAATACTCGTCTCTTCCCACATCATGTCTGTGTAAAACAAGATGAGAACTTTGACTTAGGTTGGAGAAATTTTAATTTTTTCCTGATAGCTTTGATTGGATGCGTGCCTCTTCTTGGGAGGGAGGGGAGACTTCACCAGCACACCCAGGAGTGAGGCTCTCTCCTCCCCTTCCAGAGGGAAGCTTTCTGATGGGAAAACTGCTTATTTAAACAAGAATCCTAGAAATTCTCTGCCTGGCATTGATTCCTTAGGGCCACAGAAATTTATTAATTAGCACTTAGCTACAAATCAAACCACAGTACTTGAAGAGGGAGGGAGGGCCTGGCCACTGTGTCTGCTGGGTGTATTTAACACTTAAAACTCAACTCATGAGCACGTATGTGTGTGCAGTACTGAACTTACAAGTTTCTTTTGAGTTCTGCAAATTGAAACAAGGTCTCCTGGTCTGGCAGGGAAGAAAAGGGATGTAATTGCCATGTAATTAGTTTAAGGAGATGTGTAACTAAACAGAATTCTTCTTGGGAAGAACACTTACTAATTCATAGGCAGCAGAAAGTTAAGATAATCATATACGATAAGAGTCTAGGGATTGTCTGGAGAAAAGAGGCAACAAGAATCTATTTTTTCTCCTCAGTACTGGGGACTGGATCCAGAGCCTGTGCACTGAGCTACATGCCCAGTCTGTTTTTATTGTGAGTCAGGGTCTCACGGATACAGTTTTAATGGCCACTTTACTGTCTCAAGTGAATGGGGGCCAGGGCAAGTTCTAGTGGCAGTTGATGTGCTGGCTTTGTTCCCTCTCTGAATTCTCTAACCCAGGCATCTACTCAGCCAGAGACCCATTCCCTTGGCTCCCTCCTTCATGGGAGAAGGCGCTTCACTTCCCGGGAGACGAGCTCTGCTCTGACCAGCAGCCAGGGCTCCCTAGACTTGCAAAGCCTCATGCTACAACGATGTACACTGATTCTGTTTCAATCGCTCACATGCCCAATACTTCATTATAATTAACCTGCAAACTGGTTAGCACCAAATTCTTATCACGGGAACGGGCTGCCCTAGATACCTAACAACAAATGCTTAATCCAATCTTCCTCGTTCCCAGTTTTCTTCTGGAAACTTGCTACAACGAGGTCCGCTGCCTCAAAGTTTTAAGGAATCGGAGACAAGATGCCACAGGAAAAAAAAATACACATAGTAAGAGTTTTTGTGAATAAGCCAATCTTATCCGAGTTAATTTAAATGCAAATGAGCAAGAGAAAGGTTAAGTGAATCTGGTGTAACTAATTATTTTTCTGATCATGCCTGAGTATATTTAGAAATATTCGCATCGATGAAAACATAAGTCATTTAAAGAAGAAACAAGTAGGCTCTTTCCAAGAACCAGTTCAGCTTCTTGTGGAGAGCAAGAGGAACAGAACAGGAGTGGAGACCATTGGGAGAGACCCGGAGTGGGGAGTGACAGATGTCAACATTTAAAGCTATCTAAACACTCAAGAAAGGAGGTCTCTATTTCAATCAGTCTGGATCTCTCTTCTCTGTCTCACTAATCTTGACACCATGCACCTCAGCCACGGGCAGGGGATCCAGCACTGCAGAAGAGCAGGCTGAGCACCAAGGAGACCCACAGCTGGAGCTTGGGAAAAGGAGCAAATCAAGAAGGTGCTCAGCAGCTGCCGGCTCGGTTCCTCCCCAGACCAGCTATGAAAAGCACCATATTGTGTGAGTCTGCTGTGATCGAGTGGAAAATATAGTCACCACAACAGGCATAATGGTTTGTGTTTTTAGAATGTACCCCGCGCTACCTAATATGTCCTGAATGGGTGGGTTACCAGCGAGGAATGTTTATAAGCGGGTGCCAGACTCTACCTTTCCGAAAACGATGGACCTGGATCAGCTTAACTGAAGCAGCTTAATTGCAAGCTGATGAAGAAGATGGTGCCACTGACTATCAGACCATAAGTCTGAGATTATTTAGGAGGCCAGAATACTTAATAAGGTTAGATTATACAACTTCAAACCATTGGGCTGGGGATTTTGCTCAGTGGTACCACACCTTCCTGGCAAGCGCAAAGTCCTAAGTTCGATCCCTGGTACACATACACACACATACACACAATCAAACTATTTCTGTAAAATAACTATCATTAAAAATGGTAATGCTCAAAAACATTAGAGAACAACTTCCTAGATACAGGTGTATACATATATTAATTTTGAAAGTGATTAATATGTTACAGAAGGCCAAGCAACTCCAAAGTATGGCCAATGAAGGCTTCCTACGATGGAATGTCATCACTCCAGGAGAGCGAGAGTGATGACTCATGGCAGAATCCAGCATACCAATCCTGCTGTGCACCTCGGCTGCAGTTTAGGGGCCCAGGGAGCCCAGTGCCACAAGGGCAGGGCTCAGAGCCTTGGCTGTCAGAGCCCGGGAGCTGTCCACACCTCAGCCACAACTCTCCAAGTATCTAGAGTCTTGGAGAAGATCCAACCTATTTTGCAAACTCAGATCTCCTTTAATTTTTTATCCTCGATGAATTAAAAAGGTAAACACAAAAGATTCTTAGGGGTCACCAAGGATATGTGTTTTTGAAAGGTGAGTGGGGAAACAGAAATCCTACTGGCTGATGACTGGTTTCATTCACGCTACATAAAATTCACCTTTGAAATATTAGATAGGTATTTTGGGAACTCATTATGGTGGTAGAAAATCCAACCACTGAGGGCACAGATGTAGTCAAAGTCACACTGCTGCAGGGAAAAAGCAAGCTGCAAAGCAACACAGGATAATTCCATAGAGCTACAAATAAATCTATACTACGTGTACAGGAAACATGTGTCTGAAAATACTTAGATCAAGAGGCTACTGTAAATCATGGTGGTGTCAGTGTAATATATGATATGCTTGAAAATTGCCAAGAGTGAATCTCACATGTTCACACCTCCTTTGAACACTCTTTCTACAATGTATGCATGTTGCAAAGCAGCAAGTTGTGCACTGCAAGGATAAGCAATCGATGGGGGTGGTTTTGGCTTTTTGAGACAGGGTCTGGCTTTGTAGTTCAGCCTGACCTTAAACTCACTATTGTAGTCCGCATTGGCCTTGAGCTTGTGGCGCTCCTCCTGCCTCAGTCTCCTGAGTGCTGGGATTACAGATGCGTGCCACCACACCTGGCTTCCATGTAAGCAATTTTTATGTCATTTAAAAAGTAAAAAAAACAAACAAAAAAACCCGTAAGAATAAAACTCTTTAGAAAAAGGACTATGAAGACATACCAATGAGTGGTGAAAAAGAAAGACTTTTACTTTTCACCCTCTGCTGTCTAGTTTTCCATGTGGTTGGCATTCAGGAGGAACTTAAACAGAAATGTGCCCTGCTTATCTCCATGTGGTCTCAGGAACTGTCACCAAGCCTAGGCAACTTATTTCAGAGTTAGGCAAATGGCAAGATAGTATTCAGAAGAGGATGTATTTTTATTTAAGGGCTGAGGACAGAACCCTCTCACAGCACAGATCATGAGGACCTCCCTGTGCCAGAGTCTGGCCATGCTGCGTTCCCATCACCAGCCCGTCTTGAAGCTGGTGCTTTGCCCAAGGCAAGTGGTAATTTATGGCAGGCCCAAAGAAAAGACAGATGATCTAATTAATTTTGCTACTAGTGTTCTCAGAGGAAGAAGATGTACACTAAAAACAAACACCCAAGCCAACGTTCACACACAGTGTTGCTGCATACCTGATAGCCTCGGCCATTTTAGTGCTTTCTCTTTTCCGGTCATCTGTGAGACGCCGTATGAAATAAATAAAGTCGAGACCGCAGCAGAAGACGCTGCCGACTGCGCTGAGCAGCACCAGCTTGCTGTCATCGGCCGCGGCCGTGTTCAGAGCACTCTGGACTTCTTTCATGACCTGAAAGTCACCACAGGTTCAAGTGGTAAACAACATTCTGGGTACACACTCTTAAAAGCATTCTACCACAGGGCGACCGAGGGCTGTAGGAACCACTCCCCAACCTGATGGAGCTCATTCCATCCACAAAGACTTGAGCTGGGTGCTGGAATGGAGTACAATATAGACACGTACAGAATTATAAATGGAGTATAATTAGAGAGAAACAGAAACCCAAGTCACCACGGCCTACAGCCAGTGCAGTTCTCAGCAGATGCTAGGCAAGTTACACATCGTCTCCGCTGGGTCTTTCTGCAGTTTGGACAGCAGATGGCACATTCAACCAGTTCAAAGAAAGGAGTCCAGTTTGGTTTATTTTGGCCGGGTAGGCCCCCTCCTTTGACCATCCTACCACACTTGGGAAGCAGACCTAAATAGTTCGGTGCACACGTGCATTGAAGTCCAGCATACTGGCATGGGAAGGTAATTCTAGAAGGGCACAGAATCAGTTGAAATGGTCCCCAGGAAGCATTTAAAAATAATCAGTAAAGGGACCCTACAGTCTAAAAATATACCTAGGTCAGGTCCTAAACTGGTTTGTTATGTGACCCTGGCCAAACAAAGACTTTTTCTGTGGTTTGGTTTTCTTGTCTAGAAACAACCTGCCCAAGATGCTCACAAGCAGAACACAAGCAACCCTCGAGCTGGGAACTCTGCTTCGGTACATGGCAGGTCCAAACACTGCTGTTGCTAGAGACGCTGCAGAATGGAGTCTGGGACTCTCCAGCGCTTGTCCCCCTGGGTCTCTGGAGGCTGCCTTCCTAAGACCACTCACAACAAGGATGGAGCTCCCTGCCACTGTGTGTCCTGCTACCACGCTAAAGAAGGTCTGTCACTGGGTGATGACAAAATCTCAGAAGGGGCCGGGAGCCAGGGCATTTTACCCTTGTTTGAACAAAGAACCTGCCAAGAGCGGATGAAGGCTAAAGTAAAGCGTGTGTACACACACTTCCCATGTGACTTTAGGGAGGCCACAGCTCCCTGGGCCCCATGCCTTGTGGATGAAGAACTCCTGACCTGGAAGGTGACAAGGACAGAGCCGTGGTTCACACCAAAGCCCGCATCCAGGAAGTAGAGTGGACATCAGCACACGCTACTGCCCGTCACTGCAGCCGGGAGTCAGGTCGCCTCTGCTTCCTACCTTCCAGTGGGCCTCGGGAGCGGCCCAGAAAGGTCAGAGAGAAAGCACAGAGGAAAGCACCCACTCAGCAAAGCAGGCTGGGGAAAATGGGCATGGAGAAGCAGGAAGCACAAATCGGCCCAAGGAGTGTCTCTCACCTCTGGATTTAGTGAGTTATTCTCTGATGATTTTGTGGACAACAAGATGTGGGTGAAGCCATCCTGCTTCCTGACGACAATATCTCTGTATCTGTAGGCACTCTCTGTTTGCCTCACTGAAACGCAATCTCTGATGATTTTGTGGACAACAAGATGTGGGTGAAGCCATCCTGCTTCCTGACGACAATATCTCTGTATCTGTAGGCACTCTCTGTTTGCCTCACACTGAAACGCAACCGCTTGTCAAAAGGCTGGTCTCTTCTGTCGTCAATAAATTTCCTTTTCCCGGCTGTCACTCCTGTAACAGACGTCTGTATGTTGGTTGTTCCATTTGCCGTGAGCGCATCCATGAACGGAGACGAACCTGCCAAGAGTGTGAAATCACAGTGGTGTGTGGCGTCCTACGCCAGGCCATCCCCACAGCCATCTGATTCAGAGCAGAATGCACACTACAAACCCAGGACCTAATGGCGGGCACAAGAAGGTTAAACACCGGAACTTTCAGAAGGTAACTGTTTCCCCTCAGTGTCTAACAAGTAAATCACAACCTTGTCGATCCAGTCTAAAGAACAAGGAAGGCTCAGAACTTGAGACTTCTGAAGAATGGAACTAAAAAAGAATGGGTCTTGAGGAGAGTCACTATTTTAGAGTTGAGAGGTTGAACAGAAAAAGGAAACAACTAACAGTTACAGCCAATTGCCAAATTCCCCTTTCTGCATGCAGGAGGACCGCCAGGTCAGGCCCACCCTGGAGAGGGTGTAGACGACTAGGGCTCTTCCCTAGCAGGGGCCACAGAGGGTCCACCCACTGGTCCCAGTTCTTTACCAAACGACCGTTTTACACAGCTCAAGACAGTGTTCCCTGTTCTACTACATAAAATGTTATGGAGCTCTTCAACACCAACATGGGTGACTTTCACCTTACTGCTTTTGGTCCTGAGGAAGGAACCCTGGGCTTCATACACAGATGGTAAATATTCTAACACTGAAGCAAACCTCAATGCTCTAACTTAATCTTTTATTATAATAAAAGTCAGGGGTTTGACACTTTATACCACAGCTACCAAGATATGTCAGAGTAAGACTTCATGTATGAAGACAAATAATCATCTTCCTATCTATCTAATCTGTCTAAATATTAGCTAACATAGCAATAAATGTACAGAGCTTCTGGATGGAGAAAAAAAAGGAAAGAAATGTGAAAATCACCTCAGGCTTTACTAATAAAATTAGTAATGGTAAAAGTTCTCAAACAAAAATTGCAAGTAATATCAGAAATCATTCAGAGTGAAAGAAAATAAGCCAAAATCACCAGAGAAGACTATAAATAGACATTTTAGTGAAGCCAAGCTATTTCCCTGGTAAAACAACTTGGGGCCTTCATACAGTTGGTAGAGAAATGGCATTATCTATTTTAATCTCTGGAATTAAAAGTAATACAATCCTTTAAGAAGTTAAAGAGTAGTAATACAATGAATGTTATGTTTTAAGAATCCAAGGATACGAAGACATATGTGATGAAAGACACATCCATTTGCCCAGGACCCTGTCCTCCACAGAGAGCTCCTGGGTCAGGTTTCTCAGTATCCTCCTACAGTCTTGACCTATATACCATGAAACAAAACAAACCCCAAAACATCTCTCTCCTTTCTACCCTTTCAAAAAACACAGTGGCAGTGTGCAAGACACGACATTCTAGCAGAGCATCTGGGAACTTGCTCTCCATCAGAACAGTTTATTCTTTTCTTTGGGTCCTACCAGGGATTGAACTCAGGACCTTGTGCTTGCGAGGCAGGCAGGTGCCACTGAGCTAAATCCCTGGACCAGCTTATTCTTTTAAAAGGCCAGGTGGCAGCCCGTGGTATGGACATCATAGAATTCATTTTCCCAACTCACACTGGAATAATGTTCACTGATTTTCAGGATATTACGAAAGGTACAGAAATGCTTAGGCATCAGCCCGTCACCCCAAAGGTTTGGAGCCTGAAGTATGACCAAGGGAACGGCATCATGTGTCAGGATGGAGCTGGGTCCTGAGCAACTTGGCAAAGTCCTTTCCTCTTTCCTTCATCTTCCTTTCATCTACCAGACCCTCGCCTTTCTGTGTTTAAATCTTTCCTAGCCTCTTCTCCTCAGAAGCCCGGCTGATCTGCTCATCTGCTCAGCATGCAGCCTCATGTGGTCAACAATGCTGTTGCCCCGTCCACCATTCCTTCACCCACTGTGTTCAGAGCTCGGGTCAACACAGCCAGGCAACTTCTGAGTGCAGAAAAATGGGCCTGGGTGACGCTGAGCTCTGAGCTGCCTACAGGACGGGGAAATATCCACGGGGGCTGGGGAGCTGGAAGCAGAGGGCAGAGGTGGCTCCATCCAGGTAAAATGCTGCAGGCTCTGGTGGGTGGAAGGCAGGATGGTGTTGGGTGGCAGCACCTGCCACGAGCAGGTGTGAGGGGCTGTGGGTGTGTGCTGAGGGAGGGCAGGGCAGGTCTTCAACACAGTGGCCCTACTCCTGAGAGCTTCAGGCACAGAAGCTGGGCTACAGGACAATGAAAGGCACACACAAATGTTACATAAAAGCCATAAATGTTCACTCAACAAGAAATGGTCAAAACAGCGTTTTTGGGGGGTGGGGTACCAGGGATCGAACTCAGGACCTTGGAATTGCAAGGCAGGCGTGGAGCCACTGAGCTAAATCCCCGGCCCCAAACAGCATTTAATAGAACCAGAAACACCACTGCAGGTGATGGACATGGATATTTAGGTGAGGCTGACATCGAGGACTTTCCTGGGTCAGGAATAACTAAGGCAGCCTCCGGGGAGGCCGTGCGGCCTGGCTCTGGAGGGATTCACGACAGGGACAGATGCATGGTCACAGGCTGGATGGGGACTTTGGCCGCCTCTGCGGGCATGTTCCACGCAGGTTGCACCTGTCAGGGTGCTGGGTCTTCAGGAGTAATGTAACCAGTCCAACTTTTCACTGAGGCTGTATTGAAGTGCAAAATGGCAGTGGCCACATGGGGTGGGCTGTATCAGTCATTGCCAAAGTCCTCACCTCCAAGGAGGTGGTACTGGGAACTGCCTGTGGGAGACGACTGTGTCACAAGGGTGGGGCCTCACAGATGGGCTTCGTGCCTCTGTGAAAGGACCCTTGCCTCTGAAGGGCATCACTGACAGAAGCGAGGCAGCCTGCACTACATGCCATCCTGCCAGCTCCTCGCCTTGGGCTGTTGTCCCTGTCTGCAGAACTGAGGGAATCGATCCTCTGCTGTCCAAGAGCCACCCAGACAGCGGTGTCTGTGGGTGCAGGCCGAGACAGGTGCTGACGCCTGGGCAGCTGCCTCTCTCCAGGACAATGCCAGTCTGGCTCTGGTTCAGCCTCTGCCACTCCCTGCACTTGTCTTTCTTTTCATGGCATTTTTAATTTCTCTGTTTAAAACCTACAGATTCCTTAAACTCTCTGAGCAGTTTTCCTAGTGGTTTCCTTCTATGGAAGAAGGATTTCCATGCTATCATGCCCATGTGGCCATTCTCTGTGAACTTCAGAAAAGATCCCCACACAATCTTTGAGAAAATAGTATTTTTGGAGCGCTCTGTGGTTTTGCAATTTAGAAAAGGATTAATTTCAGCTTGTGCACCCCAAGGCTACTCAACTTGGTCTTTGGCCTCCTGTGTAAAAAATATGTTGGCTTCCTACATCGCTGAGGTCCCTGCTGAAGTCTGACTGATCCTTGCTAGGGCCTCAGCTACCCCATGCCCATGTGGCTCCTGTTACCCTTCAGGGGTTTAGAAGTAGCAGTGCTCACCGCAGGACCGAACTTGGAATCACAGGCTATCAGTGTCGAGTCGCAAGAGCAGGGTCCCTGTTTTGTTTCTCTCTCTCGTGTATCGCTATCTTACGTACTATTAGTACTTACTAAATAGTTACTGAATAAACAAGAGGCCCCTGCAGCTCAGATCCCTTGCCCGAGAGACAACCTATGTGACCTGCTAGACACTACACATCTAGCTAATTATGTCAAGCCAACCTAAGGACCAGCAGCTCAAAACTTCAGAGCAGAATCAACTGCTAATGACCAAACCAGAGGTGAACTGGAGATTCTAGAAAACAAGTCCTGCCATGAGAAACTGAGTGCAGCGTGCCTCTGGAATACCAACAGAGGTTCTGAAGTTGCCCCTGGAACTGATAGTTCCTTAGGGGTTGCGACACAGAGATTACCAACACTTTCTTGTGATCCAGTTAGAAAAGAAACCTATTTTAGTGTCTCTTCTAATAACTGGGTTTTGCTTAATGTGTTCAAGGCAAAAGAGAGCCTCAGACACACATGATTCATCTGCTAAATATCACAGCTTCACAAAGGCATCGGCTCCCAACCTTAGCAGGAACTGTGTCTGGATTCCTCACCTCCACTGACGACCAGGAAACAGAACAAAATACATGGAGTTAATTGTCCCTGGACTCCGGTCAGCAGGCAGGCTCATTCCCAGAAAGGAAGGCATATGCAAAGAAACCCAGGACATACCCAGCTTCCCCACTGCAGCAGAGGGGAAACCCTGGCAGTCTGGCAAAAATGCTCAAGTAGGACACAGACAATGTGGGGACCCAGGAGGCTGCTATGTGTGGGGCAGGGTAAGGGAAAGGAGGGAGCTACAGAGAGAAGGTTCCAGAAGTGGCTCGAGATCCCCTCGAGTCTTTGCTGAACATGAGTTCAGGCACGCATAGGGAAAGGTCTACAGGTCTCAGCACCAACAGTTTTTGAGGAAAGAGTACTTAATGAAGACCTATAAACTAAGTAATTCCCACAGTCCACACAGGGCAGAAGTCCTCACTGGCCACAGTGGAAAGACCTCACTGAATATATGGAACATTCAATGGAGCAAAGTCAGCAGTGAAACGAATTCAGGTCTGGAATAAAGTTAGAATTATACTGACAAAGCTTCAAAGTAAGCCTCGAAAGGATCATATTGATATGAAGTTACACTGTCCTGGAAGAACAAATCCCACACTTTACTGTAAATTGTAATGTTCAGCAACCAACTTGAAATGAACCGACAAGCAAAGGAGCAGGAAAATCAGACCAAGATTAAGTCAGTTAACATGAAAAGTGATGAAATGAACAGAAAAGACCATTTTCAAAACCGTTATAAGTAACCTTAGTGTGTAAAGAAAGATATGGCTGGAAGAGAGATCAGGCATGACAAGTCAAAGGAGCTCCAGCTGCCCTGCATCTGGATCACCTACACCTGGGGCAGGCAGAAGTAATCAATCACAGCCTAAGGTACTCTTCCCCCAGAAAGTAGGGAGCTACAGAAGTGTTTTCATCACACTTGCTCCAGTCCAGGCAGCTATGGCTGGCACATACACAAG